ACGGATTAGTTGGCCCACCGGGGCCTCTCGGATTATCTGCGCCATGGGAACAGCTGACTACAGTGTGGCTCAGGAACACGGTCTTGGGAATTTGGAATTGGTATGAAGGCTGGCGTAGAGTAGGCAAAGTCTGTGTAAACGTCTGACGGGTGTGTCTGTCTGAAGACGTCGAGGGCCTTGCCGTTCGGGTTGAGATGGTTGAGAGATGACTTGATGGTTTGACAGGATAAGAAACAAACTCGAACCTGAGACTCCATTCATCTATATACTTACTTTCAGCTTGACCATGAACCAGAGGCACAATGGTGCCAGAAAGACTAGGAGGTTTCATGCCTGTATGTTGATGACCGAGCATGACTCGAATAATCGATCCGTCCCAGGTGTCGAGGCACGAACCGGGGTTACGGTGCGGCGCAATTCTCTATCTCCAACGCGTGTGGTATTATGAATCAAGCTCGGAGCTAAGCTACTGAATGGTACCCGACCAGCACGGAGTTTGCACGTGGGGATGGGAAGAAGGACGCAGGCGTCGTAAATCTTCCCTCTCCGTGGGGGGGGGAGGTGAGATCTGAGCGTGTCCCCATGGCATTGGTCCCTTTCTTTCCGTCAATCTGGGCGAAGCGCATGTCGTTGATCAAAGTGACTGGATTGATAAGGGAGAAGAATGCTAGTGCTGACGTGACACATGTGTATCGCAATATGACGTGCGAGTCCACGGGCGTTGGGCCGACAATGTTAGGGAGCGCTTGCGCGCGTTTCCCATGCATCGCCAAGTCAAAATGTTAGCATTAGGCCGCCTGCGGATGCAGAGCCAGGAACGTGAGATAACAACCAGTACAAGGCTGTATGTATCACTAATCTTTCCCGGGGGTTTTGTGGATTTATCAGCGACGCCCAGCAGATTGATTCAACAGATCTCTCTCTATCTGCGCCGCTTTTCATTGGCTATGCTAGCGACGGAGCTTGTGTACTGTTAGGCCAAGCCTAGTTCAATGCGATTCCACAGCCTACCTAAGTAACTTATCATTATTAATTCAATCGAAGCCAGCCTGGAAACGGGATGACACAGATGCTCTAGCTTCGTTCCTCTTCTGCGATGGTTCCCCCGAGATATGCAGCAGCTTCGGTAAACCAGGAGTTCTGGCACATTTGTAGTCAACCTCTCCACGGAGGAGCCAGGGCTGCCGAGGCAACGTCAGCATCCTCCCTCGAAAAGTGAATTAATGTGCGCGTCGATATTAAAGTTTGCCAGCCTTTGGACCATGCAGCAAAGCGGGCCTTCCAGGAATACAAACCATGTCTCACTGTATCAGTAATGGGTGTGCATGCATTGAAATATGATGCGTTGAGTGGTGGTTTGGGCCACAGATGTGTTGTACAACTATCGCGGTATATTCTGCACCGCGGTGCATTTTTCTTTTGTACAATAGGTGGGTAGTATAAAGAACAAGCTCGGGCAAGCTGTGCTGCCTGTCTCGCTTTTCTCAGCGTCACAACGTAGAATCATGTCGCGGTTCTAGATCATCGGCCAAAGCGCGGCCCTCTTCCGCCAATCCTGTCCTGCGCTTGACTTCCTCTGCGAAAGAGGCCATCAGCTTCGCGATCCCAGATTGGATATCTATGTTCCGGCGCTCGGCCTGCTCGATCAACCACCAGACTCGCTCATCTTGCACGTCGAGCGATTTCCTAACTAGCGTGAGCAGCGTCTTTTTGGGAACCCATGCTTCCGTCCTGCCAGAAGGTTCGCCGCCGGCAACTTTAGGGGCCTCGCCGTACAGCTCTACGCACTTGTAGGCAAGATCGAGATCCCCTGATACGGTGTACTCGTAAATGGCTTTGCCAAAGGCGTTCCGATCCCCCTTGAGAGCCAGCTCTGGGTTCTCCGCCACCAAAGTTTTGAGAGAGTCTATGTCGTCGCACGCCTGCAGGACGTATCGGATTGTGACATGGTTGGGAGTCGCCTCAGTGTACTTGTGAGCGTTCTGATAGATCTCCAAGGCCTTTGCATATCCATGGGTATCTACTGCAGCTTCAATGAGGACGTTGAGGGCCGCGATGGGGACCTTGTAATCGCGCACCAATTCCGTCAGGGTCTTGAGCGCAGTGTCAATGCTCTCCGGGTGATTCTTGATCCAGCAGTATATCGAGCGCGTGCTGGCATACGGCGCAACGGAAATGGCCTTGAACATGATGCAGAGAACCCGCAGGGCGCCCGCCACGTCTCCTGCGCCGCCGTAGCATTCAATCAGAGCCTCGTAGTGGTGCGCAAACAGCTTGCCACCACGTTGAGTGATCAGGCTGGCCGCGCTTGTAACAAGCTCGTAGTCGTACTGCCTCGTGGCCGTGTTGATGACGTTGAGCAGAGTACCATCTGACAAATGCTGCCTGTCGGACTCCAGCAGCCTGCCCCATATGTATCTTGTGCCTTCATAGTGATGCGCCTGAGCGCATGCGTCCAAGAGCATATACCACACTGTGAGATTTGTTTCGCTTCCAGCATGAACCTTGCTGTGCGCCAGCTTGATGGCTTCGTCGACGAATCCGTGTTGGGCAAACATGAACATGAAGATGTCGTAAAGCCACGAAGGGATGGGTAAGTGCTTGTCAATCATGGCCTCTAATTCGTCGAGCGCCATTTCAAATTGTCCATCACGAAGTAGACCGAGGGCATTGTGACTTTTCCCTTCGATGCCAGGCTCAATCCAGGACTGCTTCATGGCGGTAAGGATCTCGTTTCGGACCAAGTAGTCGGGATGTACGGCGAGTGCCTATAATGAAGTCAGTGAAAGGCCAACCCGCCGATACTGCTATGGTACGTCATACAGCTAATGCAGCATGGCATATTGAGGTGGTTGGCTTGAGGTGTAGCTGCTTCATTTCGGCGAACAACTGGGCCAGCATCGCTGCTGAGCCCTGGACGTCGGCCGTCGCAACTATCAGATGCTCGTATAGTTTGGTGTCGAGCTCAGCATTCCGAGACTGGACCAAGTGTGTGATGAAGGTCGTCACTTTCTGAAAGGTGTTTGGCTGGCCTTGCATGACCTCTAAAGCCTCGTAAATCGCAGATAACGGTGCCGCTCGGAGCTGTTCGTTGAGAGCGGATGCAGAGTCGGTCGGGGGGCTCGCATCGTGCTGTGCTTCCCCTGTAGTCGCATTTTCGTCTACTGCCTCAGTTTCAAGCGGCCTTGCTTCACCTTCCGAATGGAATACGGAAGACGTGGCTGCGGAGTATTGGCGACGTTCTGTGCGGATAGCGTGTGAGCGGGAGGGCCGGACGGGTTGCCTTCGGTGGCTCGTTGCGATCGATGCTCGAGGGAGAACGGGGGAATTGAGCAGTCTAGCCGCTACATATGCGTCGGTCGAAGGACAGAGACATCGCCACAAACCATCGAATACAGCCCGTGAGCCCGACATGGAGCTGACGATGCGATCAGGTGGGCGCGGGGAGGAGGAAGGATCTGGGGGAAGAGCTTCCCGCTTGTAGATTTCGGGGTTCTTCTCGCCGAGATGATCCTGGTTTGAGCGGTCACGTGACATTGGAGAAGACATGTCGGCCCAAGGCCGAGGCCAATATCCGGCAGATTCACATTGCAGATGACGGGGAATGATATTAGCCTCTCATAGGCTGTATTTTTTATGTTTCAGATACGTAAAATGACTATGTTGGTTGGCATGCCTCCTGGGTGCTGCCAATGGTCACTGGCTCTATTCTCCGGGGCCATCAGCCCAGGATGACAGCCGCGTGCCTAGTTTCTCTTGCGCAAGACTTCCATATGGTATCTGCACTCACAGATTGTTCTCTTGATTGGCGTTATGCATGGCCACCGTGGGAATCGGTGCGCCAGGTGCTGGCTTATCGGAATCGTGTCGGGGGTGTCCTCATGAGCCACCACGGTTACCACCACGTCCCCGTCCTCCACGGCCCTGGCCTCTGCCTCTGCCTCTGTCGCCGCCGCGACCGCCATGGTCTCCTCTGTTTCCGCCTCTGCCGCCGCGGAAGCCTCCTTGTTGGTGGTTCGCCTGATTCTCCTTGACCACGTCGATGATGTCGTCGGGGACTCGTAGGTACTTGATCTGGGGGGAGCGCATCAGCACTGTGCTCGCCTGTGGAGGCGCAAGTTTTGGGGGTTTGGATCATACATTGTTTCCTTTCACATAAACTTCGGGGATCTTGACGAACTTGTCGCCTTCCTGCATCATCGTCAGTCGCGAGGCACCGTGTTGAAGCATCGACGGACGGCGCATACCGGACTCGTCTGGACGACCTCCTTTAGGGTCAGGTTCATCCAGGTATCGCACATGACCAGATGGCCGTTGAGGGTTTCGCCATTCTTCAGCTCTACGAGCATGGGGTGCCCTTGGGCGGCGTTCAAGAGGCCGAGGGGTAACTGCGGCGGTCGAGTTAACTAGCTGGAGCATCGGATGAGGCACCGCATACACGCATCCGGGTCGCCGAATCGTGAAGAGGCGGGGGGAGAGACCGGGACGTACCATTTTGGGATTTCAGCTCCGAAGCTTGCCGTGGGAGAGAAAGCTGAGCTGGAGCTTGACGCGGGCAGTTTACGATTGACTGCACATGCGACCGCCGCCAAGATTAAGTGGGGCACCTCGGTGAGCCCCAGGTGAGAAGCGAACACAGACAGGCACAACAATCACGGCATGACGTACACCAATCATTCCATGCAAAGAGCGAACTATCTGTCACTTTTACGCACTGAAGATTAATAAAAGTCATTAAGGGCATCAGTAGCAATTCCGTTTAGCAAAAAGCCTAGAACTGTCTAAAAATGTCCATTACACAAGCTGTATTTGTCTGTTCTTATATTTGCATGCTTTCTTATTTAGGTACTGATACAAAGCACCACCCTACTTACCTACCTTACCTACCTACGTACCTACGTAGGTTATCGTAATGTTCTGCAATTACCACACATTTCCAAAACACAGCAAATGCCAGAATAACAAAGAAACATCATGCATCACGAGAACGACCAAAAAGTTGACCAACGTGGGGCTCGAACCCACAACCTCCAGATTAGAAGTCTGAAGCGCTACCATTGCGCCAGTCGGCCTGTGATCCTGGATATCCAGTTGTTGTTGGACGAGTCGGAATCTTGGGGACTTATGTTTCAGGGATTAGACTTCGCCATGGGAATAAACATGAACAAGACCCAAGACATGAATGGAATTCCCGCATTTTATTTCCACCGGAGCCGAAACTCAAATTACACTGGTTCCTGGCCAACGAAGCGTAGAGATCGTGGTGGAAATAGGGTAGCGGGCAGAATGGCGAAATCGACAACACCGATTGCGACGGCTGTTGACGCGATCCCAATCCCATCCGGTTGGTCTAAACCTGGACAAATGCCGTCCGGGGACCCGCTGATGATACTAACGGGTCACCGGGGGCCCTGTTGAATGCAGTAAGGTCGGATTCGGGCCTCCGTTCGGGTTATACGGATACAGGGGCTTGCAATCGATTGAGATAAACTCTGGACGCTGACCCCTGGGCCCCTCCGTCATAGCTAATTCGCGCACAGCATACATACAAGAATCCGCTTGTTTCCGAAACGCTCATTGGAGTTGTTTTGGTGTACCGGTTCTTGTATCCGAACTTTCAACTCAGAGTTCCGTTTTTCGACAAGACAAAACGATAATCATGATCCCGGTCCCTAGCCTATCAACGCTGGCAACGCTGGCAACGCTGGCAATTGGTGCCACTGCCGTTATTGCTCAAGACGTGCATCAGCGCCAGCCCAACATCGTTTTTATCCTAACAGATGATCAAGACCAGCAGCTGGGCTCTCTTGACTACATGCCTTATGTCCAGAAGCACTTTGTCAAAGAAGGCACATACTACCGCAAGCATTTCTGTACAATCGCAATCTGCTGCCCGTCTCGTGTTAGTCTGCTGACGGGACAGGCGGCGCACAACACCAACGTAACTTACGTTATTCCTCCTCACGGTTCGTTGGTAACTTGATATAATACACGACCATGTCTTATCACTTGGAAGAGGGTGGGCTCTGACGATGATAACAGGCGGTTACCCCAAGTTCGTGTCTCAGGGCTACAATGACAAGTATCTGCCTGTGTGGCTCCAAGATGCCGGCTACAATACCTACTACACCGGCAAGCTGTTCAACGCCCATGACACCAGCAACTGGAACAACCCTTTCCCCAAGGGGTGGACTGGCAGTGACTGTAAGTTATTTATGGGTCGGAAACTTAGAATGAACCGTATTTTTTGCTGATGCTATAACCTAGTCCTTTTGGACCCCAACACTTACCTTTATTTGAACGCTACGTTCCAGAGAAACCAAAGCCCGCCTCAGACCTTCCCTGGCGAGTACAGCAACGACATGGTTGCCGAAAGAGCGTTGGGCTTTTTGGATGACGCCCTCGGATTTAATGGCAGCAAGCCCTTCTTCCTCGGCGTCGCACCCATCGGTCCTCACAACAATGGCCTTGGCGGCGAAACAAGTCCGGGTGCCACACCGCCTATCCCGGCAAAGAGACATGAAAACCTGTTCCCCAATGTCACTGTGCCTCGCACTTACAACTTCAACCCTGTCAAGGTGAGAAGGCTTCGCAGGCCCATCCTTCCAAGCTGCAATAACGACGGCTAATATGCCCAAAGCCCAGTATGGCCAACTGGGGCCTCATCATTCCCCAGCTGAATGACACCGAGGTGGCGTATGGCGACAACTACTACCGCCGCCGTCTCCAGACGCTGCAGTCCGTCGACGAGATGGTCGACGCCATCATCAACCGCCTCGACCAAGCAGGCGTCCTTGACAACACGTACGTTATATTCACGTCCGACAACGGATTCCACATCGGTCAGCACCGCCTCAAGCCCGGAAAGATGTGCGCTATTGAGGAGGATATCAACGTGCCGTTCCTGATTCGTGGTCCTGGTGTGCCCAAGGGGAAAACGGTCGACTTCGTCACGACCCACACCGATATCGCGCCAACCATCTTTTCGCTTGCCAACATAGCCCTGCGTGAGGATTTTGATGGATCACCTATTCCCTTCTCCGAGGAAGACATCGAGAAGGCCGAGAATGACCCAAAGCACGACCATGTCAACGTCGAGTTCTGGGGAACTCAGCGGGGTTACGACGCCTTTGGAGGTGGTAAGTAGGTTTGAACCCGGAGTTGAGAGGGCGGGTTATTAACAGCCGATGTCTCTCTGCAGTTGACGCGAACAACACATACAAGGCCATGCGTGTTCTTGGAGATGGCTACAGTCTGTTTTACTCCGTCTGGTGCAGCAACGAGCGGGAGCTTTACGATATGAAAGTCAGTACATGCCCATGCCGGGCATCATTTGAAACACGAAGCCTGACTAACATCCTTTCCAGAAGGATCCAGGCCAGATGATCAACCTAGCTGGGCGTGCTTCCGGCCAGCTTTTTGAGCGGCCGTTATCTGTCGTGCAGGACCGCCTCGACGCCCTCCTCTTGGTTCTGAAGGGTTGCAAGGCGGAGACCTGCAGGCTCCCTTGGAAACATATCCACCCCGAGGGCGGTGTCGACAACCTTCGTGATGCTCTTGACGTCAAATACGACGAGTTCTACGCTGCACAGCCCAAGGTCTCATTCTCTGGCTGCAAAGACTACTACGACATCGGCGCCGAGGGTGCCCAGGACCCGCTGATCTTTCACAGCCTGTAAGTGGGGGCTAAAACCAAGTTTCAAATATGCACATTAACAACGAGATTGTAGGAGGGACGCAGCAACAAAGAGACCTCAGGTCACTGAGTATTATGTGACTTTTGACGAGCTTTAGGACGATATTACGTGATTCATACAGTTGAATTGCTGCGGGACCCCAAATGCGGCAAACTCTCTACCCTGATATTCGAGTAGGGTCCATGATGCGTGAATCAAATATTTCGAGCCCCGTTAACAATCGCGTAGCTCGCTTCATCCTACATCTGGATGAGTCAAAGTCATAGTCAATCACAACTGCTTCATTCGAACTCAAAAACTTTCCTCGGCTTCTGATATGACATATAGTGCATTTCCATCATTCAACAACCTCGATTTTCGTGAAGAATTAAAAAGAAAAAATGATAAATCTGTCACTGTTCTGATAGAAGTGCAGGGCACCAGTGACATGCCGCATAAACGGAAATAGAAGAAAGACAAACCAGTATCGTATCAAAGTCCAACCGAGTTAGTCCATCTCAATGTTCAGCTTGGAAGCCAGCCTTGCCCCGTACCACACCATGCCGAAAATGCCAATGAGGTTGAGGTGAATACTCATGGCGTGGTTGAATGAAAAGCGTCTCCTGACAGCTTTCATGTCCGGGCTTGGCTCGTCAACAGCGTCAGGCCGCTTTGCATCACGGGTTTCTACTGCGCATTAGTGGGCGCCCCCTCGTCTGACAATCCGGCCCCGGGCTCGAATGCAGAACTCACCTTGATGAACCCGGTCGATCATGGCCTGTCTCGTCTTCGGACCATAGATGAAGAGGTTGGCCATGGTTGTGAGACCGGCGATTGCCAGTGGGATCCAGTCGCGCTTCTCCCGTAGTAGGGATGGCGGCCCGTACGGAGGGAATGTGATGGCGGTCAAAACCAAGAGAACTGCCTGGCAACGGAAGTAAACGGGGAAGAGGCGTTTCTGCAACGTGGTAAAGGCGGACCTCGGAAGTGCGCTATAGCAGATCTTAACATTGACGAATGTGTGGAAAAGCGAAGTGCCGAGCAAGGTCGCGTATGAGATGGTGTGGTAGGGGGCAATGTTTGCCATGAATGCAGGAAGAGAGATACCCATGATGGTTGTGTCGGGTGAATCAAATGATTGATATTAAACTGGGTGAGGGTGGCATTTTCAGCAGGCAAAGTCAACCGTTTATATATGTAGATTTCTGAACACGTCTCGGTGGCTACCTACGTCGAGCGACGAGCTGAGGTAGTCCGCGTCAGCTGTAAGTTCCGAGCACCATCGGATAGAAGCGGTGCGTGCAATTGCAAGCTCCGGCCGCAAAGTGGGGCGTATGATCTCTGACTACCTACCTACCTTGACTGCTTTTCATGTCATCATTCACGTCCTGCTTCAATCATCAATGAGCAACAACCGGGCCGCTGATAACCTTCCCAACGTTTTTCACTCCAAACGTGCTGGCCACCACGCCGACGCTTGCTAGGCCCACACAACACCACAGACCAGTGTTGAACTGCTGGAGCTGGCTGTGGCCTTTGCTTGTGTCCACGGCCTGGACGATGGCGCTCGCTAGTGCGAGGCCCACGCCGCTCCCGATCTGGAAAGCGGTGTTGATCATGCCGCCGCAAAGGCTCTTGACGTTGACAGGCACCGAGGCCAGGAGTACAACGGTGATGGTGCAGTAGACAATAGTCGTGCCCGCGACGCCCATAACAGTGGTCGGGAAGACGTGCCTCCAAAAGCTGAGGTCTTCCTGCTTCATGAGCGCCGACGGGATGGGCGCGATTGCGCAGATGGTCATGCCCAGGATGAGAAGGTACTTGGTGTTGAAGATCTCGAGCATGCGAGACATGGAGAGACTGAAGATGAAGCCCGTCGCGCCCATGGGGAGGAAACGGAGAGCCGTCTCGCCGGCGCTTAGCTTGTTGACTTCTTGGGCGACGAGGGTCGTGTAATAGACCGTCGTCTGGTATCCGCCATACATGACTAGTTATCGAGTCAGTAACCAGCCGTGTTCTTCTTGATGGGGTTCGTGGTCGAACCTACCGAAGCCACCGATCCAGAGAGCGGCAAAGTTTTGTAGTTTCCAGAGCGAAAGCGGCATGATGGGGTTCGAAACCTTCTTCTCGACGTAGGTGAAGGCAACAATCAAGGCGATGCTGAGGACGAGCAAGGTAATGATGAAGGCCTTGCCCCAGCCGTACTCGCCGCCGCTCGAAAGAACAAAGCTGAGCAGGATGAGCCCGGCCGTCGACAGGCCGGCGCCGACAAAGTCCAGCTTGGGCTTCGAGTTACCCTCGAGCCTGTCCTTTGGGAGGAAGACCCAACCTACGACGCAGAGGGCGCCGCTCACAGCGGTCGGGATGTAAAATATGTATCGCCAGCCAAGCGAGGA